CTTTTCATAGAATTATGGAATGGTTTTGGCTAGAAAGGGCCTTAAAGGCAACCCAGTTCCCACTAGACCATGTCACTCAAAGTCCCTGTCCAACCTGGCCTTGAACGCTGCCAGGGATGGAGCAGCCACAGCTTCTTGGGCCAAGGTATGCCAGAATACAGTGCGAAGCTGCTCCTGCATTCTTTCTGCTCATTCACTTTTCCTGGGCAATGCCCCTACCTCTGACATTTGTGGACATTTTCTGATTGTAGAACCAATGCAGCACCCAAAGAGGGAACAGGACTCTACCCAACTTTCTCCTGAGGGGGAGATATTATACTTAGTTAAAAAAAAGTCAGTTTTATCTGCAGAACAGGGAGACTGAAGAACTACAATATCCTCTTTTACAGAACAGTATCGGCATACAGTCTCAAAGCCTTAAAATTTCAGTTCTGCTTCACTCAGGGTGGTTTCCTCATCGTTTTTTCCCCACTATAATTTAATGCAATTCAACTGAATTCACCCTGCAGGGCATGAAATTCCCAGTAGATGAGTTGAAACTTTAAACTGCTGTGACTTTACATTTTATTAGTGCAGCTAAGCACAGAGAGCTTGGAGAAAATTCTATTTCAGGACAATATACTCAACACTAAAGCTATAACTACAAGTTATACACGAATAGAGCAAACCCATTGTTTACAAGGTAGTGATTTAAAACTGTGCTTCTTAGCAAAAAAGAACACAGATTACAAAGAGCTACAGTCAAATTCATTTCCTGTTCGTTGTTTACTTTGTATTGCTTGTACTACTATACATCTTTTACGTAATTCATGTTTTTCAAAGTTCTGCCACAGCCTGAACAGCAAAGAAATATATTGCTTGATATAAACCACAGGATTAACTTTATAAGTACATGGGATTGTTGTAAATCTATAAATATATTAACATATCTTAATGTAGGTATACACAAGAGATATTATAAAATGCTTTGCCCAAAAATAATATAACAAGCTAGGTAGTCGTTTCTTATCTAATGAAATGTGATTAAATGGTACAAGTAAGAGCAGGATTTTTTTTTTTTATACACACTTCTAAGTCAAATGTGACAAAGTTGAGTAACATTTCACTGCTTTTCAGTAGAGAATATACACCCTTTATAAATTTAGAGGGAAAGTTCATGACAACTCATGGAAACTGCATAGAAGCGTACATCAGCTAGGACATTTACATTCAACTGAAGATGGCTTTTAGAGGTGTAACAGTAGGAAATGAATGACAAAATACCACATGCATGACACATCAATGCAGAAAATACATTCCTTTAAGAGACTAATCCATCACATACATGCATATTCAGAGCTGCACCCAAACCAATCAGTTCTGAATGCCAATTAGCAAATTGAAAGATTCATGATTTTTCTGATCTAAACAAAGGTTGACACCACATCCTGCTATAGCTTCATTGTTAGAGCAGTTTTGGCATCATTTTCCACGATTATGTATGACTGACAGAGGTGAGCTGCTCACTCTGTAACAGACCATCCCCAAAAGTGAAATCTGTGGATGTATTTTATACATATTCTAGTTCACTTTATATCTTGGCCAAGTTTCTTAACTCTGCCATTTCTTCTGAGTTTTCAGACCTCTTTATTCTTTGTCAATAATAGAAGCTTCTTAAAATAAGAGCTTATCTGTTTACATGTCATCCTTTACTAGACTACATTAACACTGTCCACGTGATGGTACGGCTGGAAGTCTGACAGATTTTTTTCTGCTACTGCAGGAAGCACTTGGAGACCCCTAATAGACAGGATTTTTAGACACATAATCCCTACGCACTCTATCTAGCACGTTTTTCCTTCTACACCAGTGACTATTCTTGCTGTTAACTGTTTTTCCCAAAGCCTTGAATAGACTAAAAATTGCCTTTATGTACAATGCCTCTCTTCATACGCTGCACCACAGCTGCTGCATTCAGTTGGAACGCTGCTGTTTTCTATTCCTATCTCTGAATTGCGAAGTTGAATGGCAGTAGGGCACGCGCTCAAAGAACAGAACTAAATAGGGAATTATTTTTGCAGCCATGGAAGAGCTGAGATTGCAAAATTCACCATTTGCCAATACAAACTGAGGATGAATGTGCTATTTGAAAGGACAAAAGTAGCTATGAAAGGAAATCCATTTTCATTAGTGGTCTCTATCTATCTGTATGCAGATGGCACTTCTAAAAATATGCATATAAAATGCTATTATTTAAATATATAGCATATCCAATCTTAAACCCAAGATTTTCTAAAGCATACTAAATATTCAGCGATTGGAGGCAAGACCTAGATAACAATGTTTCCTTGAAATCATACCATTTAAATCCAGCCAAATCTTTGTCAAAATATGAAGTCCTATTGAAACTCTTAAAGACAATTACTGAAATTTGAACAAAACTGGTATTAATGGACTTACTTTTAGGGAACCGTCAAACATAGTATAGGAGTTTAAGAGAAAGCTGAAAGGTAGCTACTGGTTCCTTTTACACATGGTAGCTGATGCACAGAAGTACTAAGCAATGCTCTCAAACCGAATTTATCTCAAGGCAAATTTAGTTGACTAGGCCAAGAACAGAACGCTGGAGCTTCTGATTTCCACAGCACACTAGGACCATACTGCTGTTTTAATCACAAGTACTATTCTGTGTCATAGTTTAAGCCCAGCTGGTAACTCTGAACTCGAAGGGATGGGGCGGGGGGGAAAAATCAAAAGAATATAAATTCCACGGGTTGAGATAAGAACAGCCCTGTAACTAAGGTATAATACAAAACTACTACTACTACCACCAATAATAATAAGGGAAATAACAAGGAGAGAGAATGCAATTGTTTACCACCCACCATCTGATACCCAGCCTGACCCAAGCAGTGATCTGGGCCTTCCAGGTAACCCCCCCCAGTTTATATACTGGGCATGACGTGCTGTGGTATGGAATACCCCTTTGGTTTGGGTCAGGTGTCCTGCCTCTGCTTCCTCCCGGCTTCCCCTCCTCCCTGGCAGAGCATGAGACTGAGAAAGTCCTTGGTCAGAGTAAACATTACTGAGCACCAACTAAAAACATTGGTGTTATCAGTACTGTTCTCAGACTAAAGTTGAAAACACAGGACTGCACCAGCTACTAAGAAGGAGAAAAATCACTGCTACAGCTGAACCCAGGACAGTCAGTCACTCACCTTTACAGTTTTACTTTTATAAGGAAAGCATTATACTGTTTATACTTTATATTAAAAAGCTTATACTTTCATTTTTTATACTTCTATGCTTTTCCTCTGTGTGTGTTTATCTATTCTCTAAGGATTTGCAAAGTTATCAAAGAGAAATCATAATCTTTTCCATTCTTCATTTAGCAGAGAGACCCTAACCAAACTGAAGCTTCATTTAGCATCAGACATTATAATATGGCTGAAAGAAGCTACACAGTAAATTACTGCAGCCAGCCCTGCAATCCCCAAGAAAAGACATTATTCTGTCTTTTTCTCAAGGATTTCCTTGGGTTCACAACTGTTAACAAAGTGCAGTCACATGTACTACTGTGGCAGGACAGCAAAACCCACATAAATGCAGCAGGTAGACATTCTATTTCATGAAAGAGTACTATTTGTAAGTAAAGCAAAGAGTAGCAAACTCTGAAAGGAACAGTCAGACAACCAAAACCATACAAACTGCCTAAAGGCTGTAAAAAAAAAAAGAAGCTGTATTAGAAGCACTTAAAACCTTGAATGACTCAATAAAGCTAAGGTGGCTACACAAGGAACAACTCAGAATTTAGAAAAACTTGCTCAAGGCATGAGAACAAGAAAATACAAAAATTTGAAGTTAAACGTAGAGAGTGAAGTGAGAGGGAATTTGACAGTGTAAGAAGTTATGGAAGTATCTGGTATCAAAAAAGGACTTAGAGAAATTAATAGACAACAGGTTCATAGGGATACACTACAGGGAATAGACAGGAACACGTCTTTTCTAGCATTCCAAACCCAGTGACTGCAGATGTTGAGCATTTCTTATGTTCTTTTAATTCAACAGGCCGGAGGAGTCACACCAGAGCACCATCTACCAGAACATGGTAACTCCTTGGGTTTGCCACGGGCATGAATTTGTTTGTGATGTATCTTTGTGTGGAGTAAGAGATAGGATTTTTTTCTTTTTTTAATGGCTGGTGAATAGGATTCTATCAATATGATTTATTAGAATTAACAGGCTTAAGTGCAAAGCATCCAGTGATCACAGGTGGGAAAAGCAAGCAGCACACTTGTGACTGTAGGTGAAGACAACTGTGAACTCAGCTTAAAGAATGTGAACAATTAAAATTAACTATATTTCTTTTGCAACTTAAAAAGAGATGTCAATTTCTATATACACAGTCATCGACCACAGACATCAGAGATCACTATTTAAACGAGTGCTTTAGGGACATCAAGTATTCACACACATCAAACTCAGAACAGTTTAAGTGAGTAAACTGTAAGGATTGAACAGAACAGATAGAGACAAGAAACCTGATTGGTAAGAGAACAAGAGGTCACCTGAATATTTTCAAGAGCAAAGTTCTTTGCAAAACAATCAATGGAAAGTGAAACTATATCCCGATTCAGGCAATTTGTTTGTGGAGAAAAAAATTAGGAAAAAAAAAATATTATGCTGCTCAGATGTTTTAAGTTTCTACTCCAATATCAAGTTTCAAAATAAGTTAGCTTAATACTAACAAGAATTAAAGAAAATATGGTCTATGTTTTTTTTGGGGATTTTGGGATCAGTCTGGGATTCTTGACATATAAAGCTTAGGAAAACATCTTAGGAATGTGTGGCAGGGTAAATTTTATCAGGCATTTCCATTTTTTATTCTTTTTTTTTTTAAAAACAGTGTTTCACTGGAGCTTTACCTTTCTATCAAACAATATGTGTTTTAAACACGAAGCCACACTATAATCTCTTTCAGTGTAAACTGACTGGAGATGACACTCCTTTGTTCCTCTTACCTCGTTTTGGAGGTCACGGATCATTTTGCTTTTCCTTTCCATTTCAGTCTTCAAAAAGTTGATCTACAAGTTTAAAGAAATGCTGAGTGTGAGTTGTTGAAATGTTCCTAAACATCAGTTTAACCATTCATACATTTTTTACTCCATTCACAGCTTTGAAAAAAACCCAAGAACAAAACAACAACCAACCCCAAACTTCTGCTTATATACCACACTGGTATAGGCCACAGTTAGGTATTTGCTACAAACATGTAGCATTATTTACTTATAATCAAGAGAAGAAAATCAGCGTACATAAGTAGGCTTTTGCAACACTAGATACAGCAGTTATTTTCTGCAGTGATCTTCAGAGAACTACGGATTTTTACAACAATATTAACTTATTTTACAATCTAAATTTCGGTTTTAACCTCTAAGAACACAAAATCTATCATAGTAGGTTTCTAACACAGTTATTTGGTCTGAATGCTATAGTACTGGTCCTAATAAGATTAATAATCCCTTAATTCTGATCAGACTCAACTGTGGAATAAAGTGTATTATATGTGAAAGCTTTCAAATCTGGTCTTTATTTCCCATGTAGTTCAATGACTTGCCATGGAAAGTAAAAATCCCAATCTTAATTTTAAGTTTAATCAAATACAGTTTAAAAGATTATTTTTACAAATCAGCCTAAGTTTCTTTCAGAATTGAGCTTTCCTCCTGGATTATGGAATTTACTAGGAGAATGGAGGATGTAATTATAATAACTAAGATTAAAACAAGGCATTCTTTTCACTCTGAAGGATGATGCTCTTGGATACCTTAATTAGCGAAATACTCATCCCTATGTACGCAATGTCACATTCTCTCCCCCACTGATACAAAGGATCTACGTTCACAGGAAACTAAAGTTGTTCTCACATTGCAGCAGGCTTGTTCAGAAAAACAAAACCTCTGTAACAAAACAGATTTAGATCTGTTACAAAACCTCTGTAACAAAACAGATTTAGATCAGAGAGACATTGACCTAGAGATTAATGCTTTGGGTGTCATGCAGATGAAAAATGACACTGAATTTGCATAGTATGACAGCTGTTCTTAGAATTATGTCAACACTCAAGTAGACAAACATAGCAATTTAAAAACCATCATCAAACATGACATCACTCTAATCTGTATCAAAAGAGAACTCGGAGAGCATTAGCATCACTTAAGAGAGGAAAGAGGTGGGGGTCCACGAGACTAGTGCCAAATGACATGCAGAAATAGAACTTCTTTTGCAAACTCTTGCAAAATTCTAAGTGGTTTGGTTGCGGAAGTGCTAACTGGACATCCAGCAAACACTGAGGGTGATGTTTTAATAGAACATTAATATAGTCAGCACTTGCCTAGCAATCACATCCGCAACTATTGACATTTAGTCTGTGTATACCTTTATAATAAATATGAAGCTTTTGCACAACAAAAAACAAAGGTCACAATCAAACTATAAGATCAAGATTAATGGCGAGAATCATAAAAAACTATTTATATGGTGGGGTTTGGTTTTTCAGCTGTTCGAAAGATTTTCCAGGTACCATTAAATACTGACAAAATTAATATACTGACCTCTGTTAAAGAGTGTTCTCATTCTTAGTCCTCACTCTTAAAAGACTATCAATATTCCTTGAAAGCACTTCACTTCTAAAGATTAATATATATGAAATAGAGATATCATACCAAAATTATTATTTGTGTGCATAGGTTGTAAGTATCAGCTTGGATTTTGTAGGGGAGAGATATTTAAGACATTACAAGGCTGTTAATTTGACCAGCAATCTACATTAGTTAAACCAGCACTATTTGTTAATTACTATTAACATACACACACATCTGGTATCACTGATATGGACATCTTAAACTGTGCAGAATTACTGTTTCAGAAAGAAGGAAAAAAAAAGAGACATCTTTTTTTTAAAAAAATAACAACATTAATTATGAAGTAATTTTTATTTTCATATTAACCCAGCCTTTTAAAAGCTCTTCTAGTAAATCTCTAGCAACTGAAGGACCACTTTGTCACAAAGAATAGTTACAGAGAGCCACATAGAAGAGATTTATGTGGCTTGGCTACTGGAGCTAATAAAGAGATAACCCTGTCATCTATTGAGTGCATCTATAATTTCATACTTTAAGGAAGATCAGTCTATACCAGACCATTTGCATAATGCTTTTAGGTAGTCCTAAGGACAAGGCATAATATAATTTTCCAGAAGAAATGTAAAACTTCTACTTTCAGTCGCCAAATCCAGACAGCACAATAAACAAAAATGGACATTTATTACCCAGCTCTAAATTAAAAGGTAGAGAAACTGAAAAATTGAAACTAAGAAACTTTCTACACCTCTTCCTCCTTCCCACCAATCTTCCTTCTTATTTGACATTCATCTCTTCTCACGTGTTGGCTGCCTTTAATTTCTATCTAGCTGTAATTATGAAAATAAGTAATGAAAATCTATTGTTCTAAGACTGAACTTTGCAATATTAAGCAAGGATGCTGCTTCTGTCTCCCGGAGACAAACATCCAAGATACTCAGAGCTTTGTGTGTTTCAGAGCTCATTACATTTAATAAAGGCAACAGCTTCCATCCAGTGACCTTTACTCACAGCAGTCTGTGACCTTGAAATGTTCAAATTTAATTTTCCCCCATCAAAATACAGAATACTTTAGCAGATGGCAGGGATGTAATTCTAAAAGTCAGACAATAGTTAGCTACAGATGAAGGATGGAGGAATACCAATATAGCGTAATTACCACACAGTTCAAGCTCAGCTGCATGTGTATTTGCTTACCTCCAGACTTCTATCTTGCTCAGGACTAAGACACGACCAATTAATACAGGATTGGAATACATTTATTAACATCTAACGATTTTGGCCATACCTGGAAATCCTACCATACTCCATAATAGTTTTCATGGTCTCATTTTCAAATTATAAGAATTGACCCCAAAAGCCAGAGTGAACTTGTTAGGCTATTACCTAAATCATAGGAAATATTATTTCCTTGGGCAAAAAAGTGTTCTACGAACTGTTAAATACTTTTAAAAGCAAAGCTAAATGTATTGTTACCTACTAGGATTTCTTGAATGTAATTAATTAAATGTAAATTATATTGTGATTAAACACATTTTTGTTAGAGACAAGTGAGTGAACATCTGCTTTTTTTATAAAAAATACTGCTCACATGAGTTTCTGATGGCTCTTAAGATTCTTGTTTGGTGGTGGATATGTCAGAATTAAATTCCCCATATTCTGTTAGTCTTCTATTCCTAAGAAATACTCCTATTAATTTCAAAATAACCATATTGCTTATTACTTATTTTTACAAGTCTTACTTAACATGTTACTCAATTCTAATTTTTCATAATGAACACAGAGCAACTGGGAAAAGGGAATTTACACAGACGTTTTCTCTTTTATTTTGACAGATGCTACTATAATTGTATTTTCATTCCACCACTATGCCTTTTTAAAACTGTAAACAAGATATAAAATACTAACAGTAACAGAATGTAATTGCAGACTAAACTTACTCTACTTAGCCAAACTATTTTTGAGTATTTCCCTGTTTCATTCTTTATTTTCTCTCTCATCCAGTGCTACCCAGCTTTTTTTATGAACCTTAATTACAGATAGTGGGAAACAACTTTACAAACCTCGAGGTGTCACTAAAAAATAAAACTATTAGATACAAGCAGTTAGCATTAAGTACAATCAAGTGAAGAGCCCTTCACTAAAAGCTCTAAAAGCCTGTTAATCTAACGCAGAGGTATGGAATCTCTCATTCTATTTATTCAAATCCACTAGGGAAAAGAAACCACTTACAAGATACATGTGTCATTTGCCCTCTGTCTTTTTGAAAAGAAAAGTGAAAATTAGTCCATGGTCCCTAATCCTGTTTCTGCAAGCAGTGGTTCCACTTTACATTTAGAGATACAGCCTGACATTATTAACACTTTTTTTCACCACATATTATAAATTGCTTAGGCATTTGATATTAAATACATGACAACCTTCATCAACTGTTAAAGAGGACAACAGGCTATTTGGAATGATGTCTTACATGTTTTAAACACATACTGTATAACTTAACCCAGTTTGGTGCTTCTGACTAACCAGCTTTATGTATCTAAGAAATACTTTTGATATACAAATAATCCATAGTTTTAGTCTGACATGGTCTGTAGAGAAGCTCCGCCAAGACCCAAGGGTTTCTGGAAGATGCTGAACTTTGCAACACAGGACTACTCTAAAATTTAAGCCACCCTTATCATAACTAGCATTCCTCTGCACATTGTATTATCCCAAATAAAGCAGCTGCAGTCTGCCACGTATTTTCTAGAAAAGACCTGTCCCAAGACAGACTGCTGCTCTTGTTCTTCATCTGTTAGTACTACTGATGCAGAAGACAAAAGAATCCACAAAAGGGAGTGCTCACTGCTGCTATGAGCCCCCAGGTCAGTCCTCAGAGTGATTAGTACTGTAAAGGACAGGAATGTCTTTACACCTCGTTTTCTCAAGCCTGAGTTCCTGCTTCTGCTCTCAGAATGTTGCTACTACCCTGGCAACAGCTCCACTGGCTGCTTTCTGAGACTGTATCCACCAACAAACACTCCAGCAGATCCTCTGCACAGCAACTGCTCAGCTGCCTACCCTTCTTGGCTTCTCTAGTCTGAAAGGGAGGAGAGGGGAAATGGGTAAGGATGTATGATAACATGGATAACAATTTCTGATGAATCATTTCTACAACTAACAGTGAAGAGTCTTGACAAACATTGCAAGATGCAAACTGTAATGTATTGGTGTTGTATCTTCTTTCTTTTTTTAGTTTGGTCAGAGTCCTTGAATACTTTTCAGGTTATTTTTCCATGTAATATGACTTAATTCTTGTAAATTCTTACTTACACTTTGGGATGTACCTAATAAAGAACACCTTAAGGCAAGTATTCCCTGTTGAGTATATACAGCCAATTAGCATACAGTGAGCATTGTACTATGCCTCCTTGGCAAGTGCACCAAAGAAGTATGTATTTCCAATGCCCCCCTCTAGTGTTTTATTCATTTGGCTTTGAGAAATGTAATTCTATCCTTATTTACTGTGATTGAAATCAAGATTTACTTCACCAAATCCCACAGAATAAAATGTATTAGAAACAAGACTCACAATTCATTAAATTAGAATTAAATTCAAGCTCCCATTCTCTAGCTAGGCCTGCCTCAAACTACCTAAGACCTTCCTTCATAACATTCATATTGCTTTCAGAAAAACATGAAACACATGGAGAAACCAGGTGTAAAGTTGTCCTGTGTGACAGGAATAATATTTATTTCCAGTTCAATTGCAGCTTTCATCTGAGGATTCTGAAGCACTTTTTGAATATTGTCTTACTGCACTGGTGAGCTTCATTATGTACACTGTACCGTGAGGCATAAAGAAATAGTCACAAACCAAGGACACAGTGCTGCTTTCCTTAAAATCAGTGGCAAATTTCCTATTCTATTATTGGCGAGTTTTAGAATACAAGAATTCAGGTTTATAACCATTCCAAGACAAATTATATTATAAACTCGGATGGGTTTTTCCTTGCTTCTGCATTAGCTAATATTTTTGCTTACAGTTAACAGTAGATTTCTTTTGATTTGTGTTTTCCCTAGCACTAGGATGTGAACTGAATTTACACAAGGTAGTGCTGCTCAAGTTTAAAAAATACGAATCTCACAAAGAACAGAGCCAATAATCTTTTCACTATATCTGAGATTTTTTAACCCACAGTTGAATTAGTCTTGAATATCAAAATCTAAAGCACAGACTAAATAATGAAATATGTCTTCCACATTTAATTTGTAGTACTAGAATTCATTGTGCTGATGAAGCTAGTTAGAAAGTGACCATGCACCTGAACAAAAGGCAACTTTCAACCAGCATGTTCTAAGTACTTGCCAGAGATAACTGGGTTCTCATTTTTTCTCATCTCAGCACTATATATCTTGCCTCAGTATAAAATCATCGTAAAACAGAAAGACCCCAAAAATGTTATCCTTTTCAAGTTCAATACATCATCCAGTTTACTACTTTTCTCCCCTCAAGAGGGGTTTTGTTCTCTAGACAAAATTGCAAGCACCAAAACTCCACTAAAACCCACATTAATTGAAAGGAATATGTCAGTTCAAAATCTACTTTATTTCTAATTAGAAAGTAGCATGTGAAACATGCGCACTCGTATTGTGTTCACCAAGGGCATAAAGCCACATACAAATCACATTCATATAAAAGAATGCATTTGTAAATATTTCCAAAATTTAGTAATTATTTTCAAAAGCTTCACTTGGAGAAACTGTTGCTTTATGAGCCTGGATGACAGTAAAATCTTACTAAATAAACCAGTAATTATCTAATACGAAACTCAAACCAGGTCTAAAAATCCTTCTAGCAGGTTGTTTTCAAATCCAGAGTAAGAATCACATAAAACTTGAGGTTTGAAAGGGCCTCTGGAGATATTCTAGTCAACTTATGCTCAGCAGTGTTCATGTTATAGAAATGCTACTTACCAAGACAGGAAAAATTTCCTTTTTGCATCTAAGAATTAAACAGAAAGCATGATTCTACTTCCCCACCCCCCCCACCCCCCCATGATTCTACTTCCCCCCCCCCCCACCCCCCCCAATAGCAAGACATGGCTATTTATGCCCCACAACATTACAGTGCCATTCAAAAATCCAGCCAATTGTACAATTTATCCAGAAACACAATTTCGTTAAAGCATGAAACCTGAAGGGGATTTATTAGCTTCCTATAGTGTTAATTAGATCTACTATGGTCAAAATCAGACACTCTACTATTTTGTTGCTCAAAATTAGTAGTGATTCCAAAAAAGTCAATGGATGTACAGCAGTGTACATTGGTACAGATGAGAGATGAGGGTCTATAAAGATAACCTCATCAGGGAAAGTACTTAGGCCCAAGTCTCCAAGCCCGAATCTCCAGAATTATATGCATGTACCTAAATTCCACTGAAATTAATTGATGGGGATCTTGGTGCTTGTAACCATACAAACGTTTTTGAGATCCTTTTTTTCTGAAGCTTAGAGTACTAACACATGAAATCCAAGTTTTTACATGCAAACTTACTTGAGCTAATGGCAAATTCAAGACAAAATTATTAAAAAAAGACAGAAGAAACAAACAAAAGTAATGAAAGAGGGACAGGGAATCACTCACGGTAGCCTGCTGCTTTTCTGCTTTCTCAGCTGCCTCATTAAGCTGCTTTTGAAAGGCCTCCTGGAGAGATCTCATTTCTTCCCTAGTTTGTTGAAAACACAGAACACAAACTTCATCTCAAGTGTCCATTAAGAAATAATTCTTTAATTTCAAAAAAAGACACCTTTCATTATTCAAAGTAACTGACAGATGTACTATGTCTATTACTTTTGCTAATAACATCATAATGACCCCATGATCCACAGTGCCAACAGAAGACACATATTATTTATGATGGAAATTGGCCACTTTTTACATCTACTGAATTGCCTGCTGTGCAAAACATCTGCCAGTGTATCATTTCCAGCAAAAAGTTTTGGCATCAAATAAGTGAGGGAAGTGGTCTACTGAAAACATATTAAAATGGAACCATACCATTAAGAATTAGTTTATACATGCTTTAAAATAATTAAATAAATTATGCTTAGCAACACTAGTACAGAACAGATTTAACTGAAATAGTGATGGAACAGAATGAAACCAATGCATCATCAGTACAATAGAGCTCTCTTATCATACAGATGCGATCATTCCAAAGTGCTGACGGCACACAGAAAGAACAACACTTGAGGCACCACAGTAAGTGACCCAAGTTTTACTTGCCACTTAGTAAGTACTGAAGAATTCACATAAAATGGATTAAAAAAAAAACAAACCAAAATAAAAAATCTAATTTGAAGTCAGCAGAACTGTATCCACAAGCTGAGATTCCAGCACTCTAAACTTTACTGTATCATCCGTCACTGTAGAGAATAATCAAAGTAATGCTCACAGACCAAACACAGCTCATATTTGTCCAAAGAAAGAAGATCATAGATTTAATATTGGGATATATCTTGAATTTTGGTTCAAATACAATATGTTTAAGCATAACATTATGCTCAGTGTTCTTTACTTACTCCAGATAAAGTACAGCCTGAGGCAACTGGCAAATAAACTGTGACCCTTCCTTGACAAAATTCTATGAGGGAGATTCCCTGGAACATTTTTAATACCACATTTTTACACTGAACTTCCACACCTCTCTGGAAGTGAAATCCAGTAAGACTGTGAAGAGCTGTCATGTACCTGCAGTAGCACCTAAGCATTTCCTTGGAGTGTATTGTAAAAGCCTTTTATTTTGTGGAGGATGAGTGCTGCTCAGCAGCATTTTTTACCCATCCAGGGTCTGTCTCTGGCAACTGCTATGGTGCAGTATACTCAATAGTTGAATCCCTTAGAAGCAAAAGTCAACATGTACTTTTAGGTGGTCCTGGAGAGACTTTAAGGGCTGATTTAAGGAAGAGGTTGGGAAGAATACTTACAGTTTGTAAAACTGGCAGACTCAATTTTCCTATCTGCAACTAAGATCTGTTTACTAAACAGTCCCTTAGTACTTCTAATAGATTAATCTATTTCATCAGAGCTGCACAGCAATCAAACCACTACAAAAATACATTCATGTATGAAGGATGGAGTCTGTGGCAAGGGCAGCTATGATGCTGAGATGTATAACTTCAGTTGCACCCAAGCCATATAACACGAGTTTAAATTAGTCATTAGCTGAAGTTTTGCTTTCATCATTTAATAGATTTGCCTGGAATACGTGAAAAATCCTTATGTGATTTCATGACTAACTCTTCACGATAAATTCAAAATCTTTCTTCAGCAGATATCCCACTACAGCCTTTTAATATCTTTTCCTAGCATTAGCCAAATATCAGCAAATACATCATTTGTTTAAATAACTTCCCATAATAGCATTCCCTGCCTTCATTTTACTGTTATAATCAGCAGACTATGGAACACAGTTTAAAAATTAAAGTAAAAGGAAAGATGGCATTTCCTAGTCTGCCGGTTTTCAGTCTGGAAATGGAAAGAGAAGGATGGAGATAGGGGTCTTACCTTTGCTTTTGGCCCAGTTCCAGAAGTTTCTGCACATCATTTTTGGCTGATACTTCATCATTTTTCAATGACTGATAGCAAGGAAACAACTCTATTACCAAAGAGATCTTTAATATTATTAATCTGTGAAATGATACATTTGGTCTTCTTTCATAAAATGTTCCCAGCAAGTCACAGTTATTGCCACTTGTGAGAAACACAGAAATTGCCTGACTTTCTCTTTACCCGAACTCAAGCACAGCTAACTTTACACAGCTGTTTTTCAAATATTAAATGAGAGCCAATCAAATAAAAGAAGTAGACTTAGAAACAAACAAATGACAAAGCATTAAAATCTTATGACAAAGGCAAGTGTGTATACACAGAAGATAGTACTACAGCTTTTTGCCTATATCTGGATCTCTCCAGTAATGAGTCTAAAATATCTTACAGTAGCATTTTGCCAACTACCTTCAACTGTGCTGCATACAAAATCCAACTCTAAAATAACTTAGTTAGAAGGAGAAGCACATTTATCTAAACCGAAGAAAACACTTACAATAATAAAGAGTGGTACAGCACTCAAAAAGAAAAAAAAAAAGAGGGGGAGAAATAAAAGATTTAAGAATTCACATTGATTAGAACCACAGTCTGAAATATAAGTCAATATAACATAATTTAGCACAGTAATAATACACAGCACCAGTATTCTTCTGTGAACAGATACAGGGAATCTACTCAGTATTTTTCCCATCTTGCTAACATGAACATGAAGATAAAAGTGCCATTTCAGAAAACCACCGTCCTTTAAAACTCCACTAAGACAGCTTATTTTTTTCCTTCCCTTCCTTTTTTGTTTTGCTGTGCTCTATTTTCATATTATTTTTAAGTGGACAAACAGCCCAATTCATTAGGATTATGTTTTCCATAAAAACATCCAGTTTATGTTAAGTACAATAGCAGCAAAACCAACAATTATTCACATATTAAAACCAAAAACAAAACCACCAAATTTGTTTTAATAAAAAGATACCAATACAAAAAAGTTAAGGAAAGTAATCCTACAGAAAGCAAGACAGAACCTGACCTGGAGGTTTACTTTAATTCCCTCAAGTTCTTTAGATGTCTTTGACAGTTGATGAAGGATATTGCTCCTTTCCTTAAAGACTTCTTTCAGCTGTCTTTCCAGTTCTTCATAGCCCTGTCTAACACAGAAAACAAAAGCATGAGATCTTCTCAAAACATTCCTCAACGCATTTGAAAAGAGACTTGGTTTATCCAAACTGAATTAATTCCAACTCGCATTAGAGATTCCAAATTGGAGCATGTCCCCCTGTTCATATAACAACTTGATTTCTCCTGAAGTAGATGAATAGATATTTTACATGTGTTTATGTGCTGCATTTGAGTTTGAAAATTATCAGCCTGAAACAGTGGTGTATTGTCCATGATGAACAGGAGACAGAAAGGATGCATTCAACAAAAGTGATGATACATAGCATAAAATTTTTCTTGTTTGAAAAGATATTCCATGCAAGAAACCAAGCAACACTTGGGAAGTATGAAGGTTTGTGACACTCAGTAATTTAAGGGAAGGATGTCTCATTTATTTTAACTTTGTAAAATTTACTACTTTAACGATTTCTCCTCACTTAAACCTCCTTACAGTATAAACTAGAACTTACAAATATGCCATAAAGACTCAAACCTAATTATTAATTAATGAGTAAGTCAAAACACTCTATTCTTTTCAAAATGGTAATTTTTACTTGGAATGCAACTATACATTTTACATTTTTTTATGACATCCCCAATGAATTGAAAAATCTGTTCTTTCTACAACTCAATTTTTATTTTTTCCTCCTTGCTGTACCTCTGGCTTAATAAGGGGGAAACAAGAACCTCAACTCTGCAATGCATCAGTATTATTTTGTTATCAGAATCAAGACCTTGAAGTTAAACAGGAATCTTAGAACTCCTTTAATGAATTTTGAATACACACTTTACCAAGGAAACTCAGTAAAGCAAATGAAATGTTATCTAGTATGAGTCCTTTTTTAACAATAGACAGGTCACAGAATATAATATATTTACAAAGAAAGAAAAATATTCTTTATTAAATCATACTTTGGATACCTAGAAGAGATGAAAGTGAATAAAACATCTCTTTCATCAACATAAGACTTTAGGCAAAGAATCTTAATGTTATATTGGAGTTTCAGCAATAATTATATTTGGCTTTGACAGAATGTTGCAAATTAAAATCTATATGAATTAAATCCAGCTAGTTGTATAATATCTGATAAATATCAGCATTCTGGTTGATACAGGCAATATAAATAAAACATCCTGCATTCAGTTTTATGCAGAAACACCTGTAGTTTTGGGGGGTAGTTACCATTTCAGGTGGTAACCACGTGTGGTTTTAAACCAGGTATGTATCACTGTAACAGAGCTGGCTCACCTCAGCAGTAACAACATTGTGCGTAATCAGCCTGACAAGTTTCAGAGAATACTCCCATTTTAATTTGCTGATGAACAGAGGTCAAGGAGAAATTTCTTCCTGCTAAAGTAACCAGGGATATTCAGTAAGGTCATCACTTCCTCTTTACGCATCACAAAAAATTATACTTAATAGTCTCTTTTGCCACTGAAACGTTGTGCTTTTTTTTCAAGTTAAAACCTGTATTAAAAAAAATACTTGCAAGTAGTAGCACTTTGTTTTAACGATCACTTTAATGTAACACCCCCTTCCAATTCCAGTTGAGCTTGAGCAGTTAAAGGCTGTCTTTCCCAAGCAGCCAACTGTGCTGCCCATGAGTATCCAGTTGGCACAGGTTTCATCCTAATGTCTTGTAAATACTGATACATATCAATTTGCATCAACTAGGATATTTACCAAAGCTCTACATTAAATTTAATATAAACTATGCATGCACTTATATTTTCCTTTCTATTATCTTTTATGACATACTGGGCAGGGAGAAGGAGACAAAAAGCCAACAACCATCTTACTACTTGAGAGTCACAAACAAATCAAACCCTCAGAACTATTAGAAGGTAACTTAGAAAAGAAAGAGGGATGAACATAAAAGACATAGCTATCATCTATTAACTATTGGGTCCTCAACGCTTTTTTAATTCTGGACAATATTATCTCTGATATCAAGCTTTGACACTTAGCATTGTGTCCAAGAACAGAGTTTGAAAGGCCCATGTGTTTGAAGACAGTAAAACTCCATTCTGCAACTGTGTGATAACCAACAAACCCTCAGAGTAGCCCATGTACTTTGGTCACCTCCATTTCTACATTACAAACTTGCATCATTTAGACCAACAAAATAAAGTGAAATTTAAGTGGAAAAGGGTAAGTTTGTAAATATGGTAATCTAATCATGAATCATTTAGATTATTCAATATCTCTCTTATTCTCCCACAAAAATTAATATATCTTCACTTTTACACTTCCTTAATACTAACAGGATTTTCAGGATCGGGTCTAAGGAAAGATCTGTGGTCCTTTGGTTTTCATTTTCTTCCCTTCTTGAATTCTAAAGGGCCAGATTTTAGTCTCCCAAGTATTTGAAGAGCACTCTTTGAAAGGTTTCACAGAAATATATATGCAATATAATTGGCATATAAGTATGGATAGGCAGGCCATTCTAAAAGGAAAGTCACTTTTCTACACCAGCACACCCATACTCTGCAGCTGTGTTACTATATGAAAAGCATAGTATATTTTCTGAAACTAACTTAGGTTAAAATAATATTTCCACCATGACATATTAGTATTTCTTTTATATTTGAAAACACATCAGTTGCAAACTATATTATCACATATACAGAATTTTGTCCTGATGAATATCGGCAAACTCCTCTGAATCTGATTAAGATTATTTGTCTAATTAAGAAAAACCTGCAAGATGTAAAGCAATTGGACCAGATATCAAGAAGACTTAATCAGCATAATTCCTCTGAAATCACAGAAGAATTAAATGGAAGGAACACCTAATCAGTATCTAGGTACCCATGTGAAGGAACCATACGGATCTTTAAAAAGGATGGCATCATCCCTCACCACATGGGAGAAAGTAAGAGAAGGAACTTCAGCAGAAAAAAAATGAAATGTTAAACTCAATGACAAGTTAGGTGGGTATGGGGGGACAGTGGATTCTTGCTGCCAGCAAGACAAGCTCTAAACTGAACAATTTGCTTACACCGAACTTGGATGCCAGTTTTGTGCTACATGATAATTCTGGAAGAAGGTTACTTGGTGCATATAAGGCATCACCACTGTACCACCCTGCCATGAACACTGTAAAATCCTGGGATTTTCTGCAAACTTCCAATCCTCAAAAAATGTTGAGGGTTCTCTACTCATTTTTCAGTATAATTATACATGGCCAACATAAATGAAAACCCATCCCTAGGAAACCCAGTATGTAATTATACACAGATCACACCTGTTCTCTAAATATTACTCACATCAGTTACACCATTCTGCAAAATAAAGTGTCATTATCAGCATATCTACCTAGGATTAAAATGAGTATTTATCGTTTTAGCATATGAATTTGCTTTTAAAAATGTTTATTATGAAACAGAACTATTTAACCGTACTCTCTGCATGTTAAGGTCTCCTCTAGTACTCTAATTACAAGTTATTTCATTTTTACTATCAGGTATATAGTATTAGTGTAAATTCCAATATAATTAATTTACAAGGGAAGGATGTAGAATTTTGAGCTTAGTCAGCTGTTTTGACTCCTCTAGTATTCTTACTGACACGATTTAATACAGTATGGTAAACATTTCAACAGAATCTAATTTGCAGTATGGAACAGAGACTAATGTCTAGTAACTCCAAGGACTTGCACCTCACAGATCACTCCACCTCCGGCTATTATTCCCCCTAAATATTGGAAGCAAAGCTTTTAGTCTTCAAAAAAAGGATGGAGTTTTTTTCTCACTGAATAACATGTACTATGTCAGGCCAAATGAAAATTGATTTTGTTTTCCCACTAGGTTTACAAAGCCTGTCTTTGAAATAAAACTTTTATAAAGATTTTAATTATTTATGGTACGTAAGTGTCCCTGGCCAAAAAAAACCCCAAACAACAAACAAGCAAAACCCAACCCTTAAATGCAAAAGAGAAAACTCAAATACAATCTGCAGTTTAAGACTAATTTAAATAGATGTCTCTTTCAGCAAATCTACTGCCACTTAAGTTCTTTCAGCCACTCTTTTTACAAAACATTTCTGTTCTAATTGCAATTAATAGTTTAAGGCAATATAATGTAAATCTAAAGTAAATTAGGTGAGATGATGAGACAGTCACACCCTCTTGGGTTTGGCTATTTTTTAAAGCAGTAACAGTTAAAAAAATCACAGACTATATATGTTTTTATGTGTGTTTTATCACACATAGAAAATAGTGCTTACAGGTACACTTGCAAAGTGCACGATTCCCTTTAGGTGTCTTTAAAGCAATCCTTTGAATATATTCTTGGTGGTGGATGTGAACACATGAATGTGATTTACATTCAAGTGAGAAAAAGATTCATCACAATTCTATATCAACATCTGGAAGCTGAAGATAAGAACCTTTAAAACTGTAAAACAAGCAAATGAAATAGAAATAATTTATAATGATAGAGCACTCCAGTGCTGTTTTTTCTCTCTTTCTAAATATGGGCATTTTTAATCTAGAAATTCATTGGGAGGAAAGTAATTTATTAATGATCAACAATCAGAATGATCACGTTATCTAATTACCAAGTATGTAATATACAGTGTATATATAATTATAGTGTGTGTATATATAGAGTGTACTATAATAGTATTCAAGCCAAGCGTCACCTACTTTGATCTGATTTCACTCAACTCTGAATGAACAATTACATTTGGGAAAAAACAAAGGTTAAGTTGATTATGAGATCAGCTGTTGCTGAAATATAAATGGCATTTACATTATACACTGTGTATTTGGGCATTATCTAAACACTGTGTTTCATACTGGGAGGGACGGCAGAGAGGAAGAATAATTAAGAGAAATCTTGGGGATTTAAGGCAAGACAAGGAAAATTTTTCTTTACCTGACCTTTATAAATTGTGCAAAATATTTGGTTGGGATGTTTCATCTCTATCTACTGAGAATAACATATGCCTTTGTGGTTCAGGCTTGATTTACAACCACTTGAGATA